AAGCCTTTTAAAATTTTTTGAGACTTTTGTTATTGGTTAACATATAAGCTATCCTGGAGAATGTTCATTCTGCACTGGAGAAGAATTTGTATACTGCTGTTTGGGGGTGGAATTTCCTATAGATGTCTGTTAGGTCTGATTGGTATACAGTGTTATTCAAGTCCTTTCTTTGTTGTTTAGTTGCCTAGTTTTTCTACTCATTATTTTAAGTAAGATATTGAATTCTCTACCTATTATTATTTTTGAATTGTCTATTTCTTCCTTCCATTCTATCAGCTTTTCACATTATGTGTTTTGGGGCTCTATTGTTATGTGCATATATGGAGTAGATTTTTAAAGGTTGTTCAGTTCCTGTTTATCTAAAGTGATAAAAAAATGTACTCACACCTCAGGAAGAGATTTAACCAGATTTCTTCATGTTAGTCTCAAGGATAAGACAGAAAAGCATTGACTATTTGATAATATAGTTATGTGTGCCTTAGCAAATAAGTTCCTAGGGAAGGAAAAGTTAAAAGATTGGGCAGGGAGGGGGAGGTCCTTGTGGCCCAAAGCCTGCCCTGTTTTTCACATGCCAGGACATAGCCTGTCACTAGATTCCATGCTGGTGGGAAGAGTGGCTCATGGTTGCATTTTACTCTTTGATGTTTCACTTTTAAAATGACACATTTTAAGAGACAAATGAACAAATGAGAGTTTGCTCAGAAGACAGTGCTCAGAAACCAAAGAATCATTCTAGACTCTTCCTTCATGATACATACCTAGTTCTGTCAGTCCTATCTTTTTTCTCTCATTATAACTGAAACCGGAATGATTGAAACAGCCTCATCTCTGCTCCTCCTGCCCCTCTTCTAGCCCCAAGTCCGATCTATCTCCTGACTGCAGTCAGAGTACTCTTTAAAAAGGCAATTCTGATCTCCAATAACTTTTCTGTTTAAAACTTTTTACTGAAAGCAAGCACTGTCAGTGATTCCTGTGGGGCTTTCCTCCCTCTCATCTCTCTCTACTGCTGTCACCCCAGCCCCCACTCCTTCCATAATAAAAAGTAGACCTTCCCCGCCTCTCCCACTGTCAAAGGACTCTTAGCTGAAAGAATAACATTCCCTGGGCTTCTTCACTGAATTATTCATCTTTGCTGCTTTGGTATGGCGAAACTTCTTATTAAAAGCCCTGGGTAGGAGTGACCTACTCAGCACAGCCCTCACAACTAGACAGACAGAAGCCAAGAAGAGGAAGAGATTCAGTGGCAGGGGTGGGAGGTTCCCCTAAAGGAGCTGTGACAGGGAGTCCCCAGAACCCAGGGACTTGGGAAGCTGAAGGATACCTCTAAAGACTCATGGCCATGGGGTGACCATGGTGCTCATTTGGGCTGTTGTCCTCCATAGCTGTGGTCAAACCCAGAGGCCTGTTTTCCATCATTGCTTCCCAGTTCTGGAATCTTCTGAGCACTAAGCAGTTATGGAAAATCCAGACATGGGATGGAAGAGATCTCAGCTTTCTGTCTAGGTCATTGGGACTCTGCGTGACTGGGTAAAATGGGACGGGTTATCCCTATTGTACCTTGAGTGACTGAGGCCATGTTAGGAGGAGATCCAGAGTAGGGGGAGAAGACCTCATTTCTAGTTCTAGCTCTGGTATTAACTGGCTGTGTGACCCCAGGGACATTGGTCGCCTTCTTTTTGACTCTTCGTTTGCTTGTACACAGAAGGGAACACACACGCTGCTGCCATGAAGATCATGGGCTCTACTGCCAACCTGCCAGCCTCTGCTTCTTCCAAGATATGTAACCCTGAAAAACCATTTAGCTTGACAAAGCCTTAGTCTCCTCATTGGTAAAATGGGGGCAACAATAGTACCTACCTCAAACGATTGTTGAAAATGCACGTAAAACACTCAGCACGTGGCCTTAATAAACACTCAATAAACGTCAATACTGGTCTCTTATCAGAGAGCCTCTTTCTCCAGAGCTTGGTTTATTGAGCCATAGACTCTCAGGTCTATTTCTGGAAGGGACGTGACACTTTGGCCATATCATCTCCCAGAAGAGGCTGTTTGCAGGTAGCTTGAGCCATCCCTTCAGAATATGTTTAAATAGACATACATCTCACGTGATGGTCATGCAAGGGCACATGGCCCACTCCTCATTTTTTCTTCACCCTTGAAAACATTGCCTTGGAGCCCAATGGTCCTGAGCTTTAGAAGTTGCCTGCCCATGACTCAGCAACAGTAAGAGAAACTCTGAGGGCCCACTCTCAGGGAGACAGGAAGGCTGGGGAGCCAGAGACAAGGAGAGCTGGGGCCAGGGCAAGAGGGCCAGCAAGAACCAGAGCCACTTCCCCCTGGGCTTCACAGATCCAGCTATCTGGCTAGAAATGCACCTTTGCCCATGGCCTCTTGCCCAAGACCTGGCTAGCTTGGCTTTCTTGTCTGTTGTACAATTTGTGAGTGACTTCATATTCTGCCTAGAGACTAGAACCCATGAAGAAGGGGCCTAGGCCCTTTCTTTGTCACCTTTCGAGCCTATTAATTGTTGCTATGAACTGAAATCTTTAGCTAGCACCTACCCTGTGCCTGGCCCTGCACTAGGTGCTGTAGGGTGCCCAGCAGGCCCAGGCTGCAACCTTGTGGAGCTTAGGGGCTAGTAGGGAGGAACATCACTGAAGAATCACACACATGAAAGTGAGACACAATAGAATTTTTTAAACCCCAAGATGTGAACACCTATATGATTGGGTAAGGGCCCAGGAAAGAACTTCAAGGAAGCGATGTTTAAGTCTGGACACCAAGAAAAAGAAGGCACCAGCTAGGCAAAGAGTGAAGGGGAGATTGGTGCAGGTGGAGGGATGAAGTGAGTTCCTGCCTCCCAGCCAGGGCATTCCCAAACTCTTTTGTCTTGGCAGAGTGTGGCTCTCTGAGGTCTGTATACCTGTTGGCTTCTACTGGCCTAACAAACTCTCTGACTACTGCCATCTGGGTTTTGCATCAGAGTCACCAGAAAAACTTGGTAAGAGTCAGATATCTGGGCTGTACCACCCTTAGAGACTTTAAGAAGCTCATTGTGGGGTCCAGGAATCTGCATTTTGACAGAGCCCCTAGGTGGATCTGCTACAGGTGGTCTGCTGTTCTGTGAACCCTTCCTTGAAGGCATTGGCAAGATAAAGTCTAAATGCCATGACACGACCTGCGTGGCTCTTCAGCTCTTCCTATCTATTGTTACAGCCATCTTGCTAGTCAACTTTCTCTAGGCTTCTCATGCCCACTCCCACAATACCTATCCTCCACAACATTTGAGTAATCATTCTCTTACCCAAATGTAAGCTTCCTACCCCTTTGCTTAAAACACCCTCTTTTATTCCTTGTTCCTTTCATGATAGGTCCCCATTCCTTAACATGGTATCAGTCATGCTTCTCCCACTTCCCATTTACTCTCTTGATCTTCATACCTCAAACTGTGCCTGATGCTGAGTAGACACTGAACAGATATTTATTTAATTGCTACAATAATGAGGGACTTAAATATGTTATATTTAACTGAAGGACATGGGAATATTTCAAGTCATAAAAATCATGTCCAGGAGGGAAAGAGCTGTCTTTAGATATTGGAAGTCCTGTGTCATGTGGAATCCTTGTTTTGAGTGGCCCTAGGACCAAGCAGTGGAAGTCACAAGAAGTCAGAATTTACACGATATAAGGGATCATGTGCCATTTTTGCAAGATGTAATGATCTGCTTCAAAAAATGGTAAGTTTTCTGCCACCTGAGGTATTCCAGCATTGATTCTTTGGTACGCATTTGGTGAAAATATTCAAGCACTGGATGGAATTTGGACAAAACAATCTACTAGTGAAAGCATAGGATTCTATGGGGAAATAAAAGTGAAGAGGAAAAGAAAAGAAAACAATCCCTCCATTCCAGGGAAATAAAGTATTGTGGTTAATTATCACCTCACTACACAACATGCACGAAATGCTTATTCCCATACCATAAAATAGACCTAATAATAGTAACCCTTACTTTTTCTTTGATGATCTGGAAATTAATGTGGGCTCTTGCAGTGTCTAAAAGTCCACATTATAAACATTAATTCTCATTATAATGGAATGAGATTATGTTCATGTGGAAATGCTTTTGTTGCTCAGGCTGGAGTGCAATGATGCAATCTCGGCTCTCTGCAACCTTCCCCTCCTGGGTTCAAGCAATTCTCCTGCCTCAGCCTCCCAAATAGCTGGGATTATAGTCATTCACCACCACGCCTGGCTAATTTTGTATTTTTACTAGAGATGGGGTTTCACCATGTTGGTCAGGCTGTTCTCGAACTCCTGACCTCAGGTGATCCACCCACCCCAGCCTCCAAAGTCCTGGGATTATGGGCTTGAGACACCGCCCCCGGCCTTCAGCTGTAACTTTTTGAGACACTAAAAAATTTCATGTAAAATCAGTCGTAGTGTGTTGCTTAGGAAGCCAGAAAGCTATGCATGCTTTATTCTGCCTTTATGAGTAAAATTAAGTTGCTGTCTGGAATTTCCCCCAAGTGTTTTGAGGACTATCATTAAGGTCAGTATCTAAACATTTAGCACCATCTCATAGTTTAAATCTATTTGATTCTGTTCAGTTTAAGAAAGTACATAGAATATATTATTATTGTGAAAATGAAAACATTCAAATTGTGAAGTACTTTGCCCTCACAATCATCTGGAAGATGTATATTGGCTTTTTCCATGATGATTTTATAGAACAGGTGTAAACATTCTAGATTCATGGACACCTTAATTCTTCCTTATGGGTCCAAAGGAGATGGTGTTCTCGTCATTTCTCTTGGGTCAGACCCATATCCACTTGGGCATAAATGTTAGCTAGAGGTATATTTAACTAATAATGTCTTCCTACTACTTAATTCTTAAAAGTTATAGAAACATTGAACAAAGGGCAAATGTTGTAACAAATATCAAGGTTTTGCTTGCAGCATAAGACATCCTAAAAAAAGAAAAAAATTATCTGCCAGAATGTCAAATAAACATGCTTTTATTACTGTAACTAAAGAAATATTCTAGAAAAAATTAAAAAGTGTATCATGCAGAGGCACAATAGCTTTCCAACTCAATTTAGTATATACAAAAAAAATTGCCTTAGTACAAAGAGCCGTACCATCACAAGCTGAAGAATAACACTACAGATTAGAAGACTCATTTGGCTGAAATATAGCTAATAACAAAAGCTAATGTCAATCTTCTTAGGTTGCTACAAAAATACCACAGACTGGATGGCTTTACAATAGAAATTTATTTCTCATAGTTCTGAAGCCTGGGGAAGACCTTCAAGATCAAGGTCTTGGCAGACTCAGTGTCCAGTGGGGCCCTCTTCCTGGTTTGCAGACAGCAACATTTTTCTTGTATCTTCAAAGCAGAGAAAGAGAGGTCTCCTATCTCTCTCTTTCTCTCTTTTTGGAAAGCGGGGACAAGGAGTCTTTCTCTGTCACACAAGCTGGCGTGCAGTGGTGTGATCCACCTCTTGGGGTCAAGTGTTTCTCGTGCTTCAGCCTTCCGAGTAGCTGGCATTACAGGCGCACCATGCCTGGCTAATTTTTGTATTTTTAGTAGAGATGGGGTTTCACCATGTTGGTCAGACTGGTCTTGAACTCCTGGCCTCAAGTGATCCGCCTGTCCCGGCCTCCCAAAGTGCTGGGATTACAGGTGTGAGCCACTGTGTACAGCTTCAGTTTTATTATCTATAAAAAGAAGGGACTGCATCAAAGTACTTTACGGTCTGTTCCAACATTTGACCTAAAATGGCACACATATCACCATATTTTCTGCACCTCATGTCTACACTGGAATCAGTCTTCCTTTTTAAGAATTCTTTTAAAAAACCTGTTTGTTGTAAAGAGACCCTTTTGTATCTATTGAATATTGCAGTCTGTTGCCAATGATGTCACAAGAACTGTTTCTATAAAGTTATTTTTAATAATTTTTAAACCCCAAACACACTTAAAGTCTGGTATAAATCATGTCATAATGGTCATGACAAAGGAAATATCTACTCTGACATCTGTTTTTACTCTTATTGTCAAATAAATATACTATTACTACATGGGATCAGCTGATTAACATCTTGAAAGATAGAAATAATTTATTCCTCATGTATTTTTTGTTAAGCAGGTTGCTAGACACTTGTGCATATATTTCTTATAACCTGTGAAATAGCCTGCTGGAAGGCATTATTATCTCCCTATGCAAACTGAAGAAACTGAGGCACAACAAGGTTTCATAACACATCTATTTAGTGGCAGGACTCGAATTTGAATCCAGGAAGTAAAAATGTATGTGTTTACAGCATTGTGAATGTACCAAATGCAACTGAATTGTACACTTCAAAATGGCTAATGCCGTATGCGCATCTCACCTCAATTTTTAAAAGTAAAACAATTTAAAAATCAGAAAAAGAATGTGTTTACGGTTTGTGTCAATTTAACTAAATCACAGTATGGTAAACCTGAGAGTGCTCATGACACAGCTCTCTGACTAGCTAGCTCTATGGCCTTGAACAAGTTGTTTAACCATTTCAGAGTCAATTTTCCCATATAAAGTAAGGAAGAGGGTTAGGCACCTGGTCAGCTTGAACAGGCTGTAGTCAAAAGGTTTAGTCTATGGCGTAACACTAGCCGGTCTTTATTGCCCTCTTGTGGTTGAAAGTAGAACTGTTTCTATCGCTGTATTTGTATTTAACACAAAGCTTCGGAATAATCTGTTTATTACGGCAATAACCTCAATTCAAACCAGTCATTTGACATCAAGCAATTCAAGCATCTGGATGAATGAATATTTTCTATTTCTAGTAATTCTTTTATCATGCTGACAAAAGTTTAGATTTATAATCTCTTTGAACAAAAGTAGTCTCAAATATAATCAGGAACAAAGGACAAATCATATAAGCATTTCTCTTTCCCCGACCCACCATAGTTTTCCAATTTATCAGAACATAACCTTTTATATAATACCATAAGCAAAATGAAAGGGCAAGAGGTATGGGAGGGAATTGCAGAAAACCAGCAATGTGGATAAGATCAAAGGTTAATACAACATAAAAAAAGATTTCCTTGGAAGCAATTAGAAAAAAATGAGTGTTCCCCACCCCCATCTGAGTTCATTCACTAAAGAAAAAATAAAAATGGCCAATAAATATATAAACAACAATACTCTCAAACTATTAAATACATATAAATGAAAACATGAGATAATTTTTTCACCCGATTGCACAAATGGGGTTAAAAAGGAAGATAACATTCCATACATTTGGGTGTCTGGAAGGATAGGTCTCCTCTTATTCTACTGGTGTTGATGTCATTTGGGATAACTTTCTAGAGGCCAATTTGCAAATGTATATTAAAATTAATAAAAAATTCATACTCTTTGACCCAGAAAAGGTGAGAATTAAGATTAATATTAGGGACCTTCACTGCTGCTTTATTTTATTAAAAGAAGGCAGTTGGAAAACAACCTAAATGTCTAGCAATAAGTGTTTTATTAAATGTTTAGCAATATGGGTAATTGTGGTAAATCCTTCAATACAATATTATACCAACAGCAAATATAATCTTAGTAAAATATGTCTTAGAAAAAAGTTCAGCACTATATACATAAGGTGAAAAAGATTATGATCAGTGTGTGCAGTATGACATCAATTTAAAAATACATACATATATTAAAATCACTAAAATGTTAAAATCTGCTTATCTCAGGGTAATAGGATTACAGATGACTTTAATTTTTTAATCTTGTTTTTCTATTTCTTTCATTCCCTTGTTTTTCTACTGTGGATATGTATGGCTTTTGTAATCAGAAAAAAAAAACAACATTTTAAGGCATTTATTGGCGACTCTAAGTTTTCTAGCAGGGAACAAATGGAAAAAGAGAGAACTCAGAGGCTACTGGCACTTGTTCACCTCTCAACAGACTCTAGGTTGAGCAATATATTATATGCCATTTCTAAGGCAGCCAGGAACAATGTCAGAGAAAAGAGATGATATGAGCCTGTTTCTTGCTTCCTCATGAATGCACCACAGGAAGGCATGATTTGTATTTTTACTCTAATCAATATAGCTAATGTTGAATTAAGAGCGATTTCTTTTATTAAGGCAGCTTTTCCCAATTCTTTTTATCAATCAATTAACTAGATGCAGCACAGCTTGGCAGGTCTGATTAAAATTCAGGAGCGCTATAGTGAGACCCATTACACATTTACTTATAGTTCATAGAGCACGAAAGGAACTAACAGATTACTTAAAAATACACATGCTTGCACACACAAAACCTACCGTTTAAAAAGGCATTTATATATAACTGAATCATTATTCTCTGTGTTTCCTTGGAGAAGGCAAAGAGATTTATGAAGACACACAGATCACTGCGGCAGTTCCTGTATGCCTACAGGTGACGACGCCACATCTTGAGCTGTGAAGATGCTTATTTTCACTGGAAAAATATTAAGTAACTTTTTAATCCCCTCAAAAAAAAAAAAAACAAAAACCCCTTTCACACATAATCACCACTACCGTCACTAGCAGAATAAGAGATCCTTGCTCACCAGTTTTCACAAGAATATTCTAAGGAAGCATTTGGTAATTTTTCTTTTATTCCGTAAACATGCCTAGCTTTTGTCATTATCCCTTCCTTCTCTTAAAGGGAAAGTAGTAAAGAATTAGAGTTCTGGCTGCGCACAGTGGCTCATGCCTGTAATCTCAGCACTTTGGGAGGCCGAGGTGGGTGGATCACTAGGTCAGGAGTTCAAGACCAGCCTGGCCGAGATGGTGAAACCCCCATCTCTACTAAAAGAACAACAACAACAAATTAGCTGAGTGTGGTGGCGGGCGCCTGTAATCCCAACTGCTTGGAATTGCTTGAACCTGGGAGGCGGAGCCCGTTGCAGTAAGCCGAGATTGCACTGCTGCGACAGAGCCAGATTCCAGCTCAAAAAAAAAAAAAAAGCATGAGAGCTCTATTGGTGATGGAAATTGAGGAAATTAAAGTGACCAGTTTGGAAAAAGAAAACATTAGTGAATATCTGAAATCATGCACATTAACGTTTTATCAAAATGTGTATGCCATGGTCTGAATGTTTGTGTCCCTCCAAAATTCATAGGTTGAAATCCTAACCCCTAAGGGGATGGCATCATAAGGAAATGGGGCCTTTGGGAGGTGATTAGGTGACAAGAGTGAACTCCTCATGAACGGGATTAGTGTCGTTATAAAAGAGGCCCAAGAGAAATCCCTTTCAACTTCTACACAGCTAGAAGGTGCTATCTGTGAACCAGAAATCAGGCCCTCACCAGACACTGAATCTGCTGGTTCCTTGATTTTGTACTTCTCAGCCTCCAGAGCTGAGAAATAAATTTCTGTAGTTTATAAGCTAGTAAGCTTATAGCATTTTGTTAGTCCAGCCCAAATGGATTAAGAAAGTATATTACAGTTTATCTGTCCTAAAATCAAGTGTAAGAAAAACACTGCACTGTAATAAATTTTACATTTCCACAGGAGGGAGAGAAAAAAATCGAAATGATTATCTGGATCACCGAGGAAAAAAATTGCTGCAAGATCTACTTTGGGTAACTCAGATGAAAGTAGAGATGTCCATCCCACCTCCCATCTTGAAATTACTCAAACGGATGCCTCAATTTTTCAGGATGTTTTAAAAATACAGTTACAGGATGGAAGATCAATCATGTATTCCACACCTTCCTCTTTCTGGAAGGACTATCACCAAACCATTTCCAAAAAGTGAGACCATACTAATTCTTAAGACATCATGAGGAGATTTCCCATTGGGTTATGAATAAGGCAGAAAAACAGCAAGGAAGTTAGAATTCTGCTTTTAAAAATATCAGTTATGGACCCCAGTGTGGTGGCTCACACCTGTAATCCCAGCACTTTGGGAGGCTAGGTGGGTGGATCGCTTGAGGCCAGAAGTTCGAGACCAGCCTGGCCAATATGGTGAAACCCCATCTCTACAAAAAATACAAAAATTGGTCATGTGTGGTGGTGGACTAGGGAGGCTGAGGCATGAGAATCACTTGAACCCGGGAGATGGAGGTTGCAGTGAGTCGAGATCAGGCCACTGCACTCCAGCCTGGGCGACAGAGCAAGAGCCTGTGTCAAACACACACACACACACACACACACACACACACACACACACGTTAAGCTGGGCATGCTTGTGCATGCCTGTAATCCCAGCTACTCAGGAGGCTGAGGTGGGAGGACTGCTTAAGCCCAGGAAGTAGAGGTTGCAGTGAGCCAAAAACGTGCCAATGCACTCCAGCCTGGATGACAGTGAGGCCCCGTCTCAAAAAAAAAAAAAAAAATTAGTTATGAATGAACAAATCCTTATTAAGTGGCCTATAAATCTATGGCTTTCTGTATTCTAAAAGTTGCAACATTATAGACTAGTTAAAATGATTTGGGGTGCTGCGTTTGAAGCATGGTCTGATAATTTGTTAAATTATAATCCTCAGAGATGGAAATGGTACGTGTGGCCAAAAAAAAAAAAAAAAAAAAAATCTGTTTCCCAACAAATTCCCCACCCCAATTTCAACTGGCCAAAGTCGTATCAGGCAAAAGTAGACAGAGGGGAGAAGAGAGCAAAATCTGTGGCAGATGGAATCAAAGTAATGAAACTATATATGCTGTGGAGAGACTTGTGTCCATAATTTAAAAATCACCATTATGTATTTAGGTCATTGGGTGCTAATATATCTTTAAAATCTAATATCTGAGAGGCAAAAGAAGAGAATATTTAACAAAATTATTCTTTGCTTTTCTTGTTTCACCTATATTTTCATGTTTTCCTAAGGTCTGTACAATTCACCAGTCAAGAAAATAAAGGGAATATGTCTATTTATATTTTATGACGGTTTATCATTTATTTTATTTTTTATGCAACATTGTTTGTTATATTTTTTCTTCTTTTATTTGTATAAATTTAGAGGGCACAAGTGCAGTTTTGTTACATGGATATATTGTAGAGTGAAGTCTGAGCTTTTAGTGTACTCATCACCAGAATTGTGTACATTTTATCCACTAAGTAATGGTTTTAAATTATAATAAAGAAATAAAATGGAAAGTTAAGATTCAATTTCCAGTCCCAATATACTTCCTGCATTAGAAAGTGGTTGAGCCCATGAGTTTGAGGCTCCTATGAGCCATGATTGCGCCACTGCACTCCAGCCTGAGCAACCGAGGGACCCTGTGTCTAATAATTAAATAAATAAATAAAAAGAAAGTGCTATAAAATAAAAGGACCTCCGTGCCCCAATCTTTAAACTTTGCTTCATAATCAGTACAGCAGTATCTGATCACTAGATAGTGGCTGCTTGGAGTACCACATGAAACGTGATCCAGAGGCCACATCCAGTGCAGCCTGAAAGAGTGACTTGATTGATAAGTACTGTCCATCACACTCACCAATTGCTCAAAAAGAAAAAGGGAGGGAAGAAACACAAACATTGTATGTTGGATGTTCAAAATGCACTTTTTATTCGCTTTAACACAGATGATTTTTTTACAGTTGAAAGAAAATATTTGATACACAATTTTGAGGTTTTTTTTTCTGTTTGTTTTTTTTGTTTTTGTTTTTGTTTTTTTTTAGCAGCACCTGCAACAAGAGGATTGTGGAATACCTCAGGGTAAAGTAGAGATGGCTGGGGCAGGCACAAATTAACCTGAAATTGATCAATCCACTGAAGACATATGGAATCTGAGGCCCCTGAAAAGTTAGCCAATACATGACAACAAACTAAATAAATATTCTGTATGATATTTTAACAGACCATTGAAAAACAGTATAGTCCTAATTAGAAATATATTATTCCAAAAAATCTAGTGTTCTTTAAAAAAACACCTATTGAAAATATTACACTGCACATTCTAGGGTACACAGTCAATTTCTAAACCTATATGCACAGTTCTTGGTACTCACAGATTTCAGCCTTTGGTGTTTTTTAATCTTACCCAAACTATGTGTCAGCACCCCATGGAATGCTGCTTACCAAAATGCCACTGTTTATGTCACTTAATGTTAAGTGCTTTCATTAAGATATTGAGTGGTAATTTGGCAGAAAGCAATGGTATGACTAAGAGGAAAGGGGCTCCAGTTGATAGGTCAATAAAATTAACACTTGTCTTAGATGGACAGGATGCCTAAGAATCTCATACCCACATAATTTATTTTTACTCAAATGACCACATGCCACTCTAATAGAGACAAGTACTTTTGTGAGTTGATGGAGGTCATTATGATGAAGGCCTGAGATCTACAAATAGAAACTATTATAAGCAGAGTGCAAGTAGAAAGAGAAGGCCCCAGGTCTCATGCACTTAAAAATAATTAACATTTAACAGTTCTGAACTTACAGATTTTCACCCTAACATGATTGTAGCAAAATGATCATAGAACTTGGAAACCAGTGTGGCTGGCTATAGGCATAGGCAGGATAGGGACAAGTACTTAAGAGCTGTGGGGTCCCAGTTCTGGCTTTGACTTCTGACATCCAAGTTAATTGAACACTGGGGTCAGGATTATATCTTAATTGGAAATATTGAGTACGACTGGGTTAAATACCGTCCTCTTCTTTTCTATTTGGTCAAAATGTCCCAGAGCTCTTAAAGCACAAAAGTCCTACATGTAAGTAAGGCTGATTCCATATGTGGCTGCAATGGAGAGTTCTAGGCTGTATTCCTATGAAAGCTCCCACCCACTTCCTGGCCTAGGTCTTTTTTTGGGGTAATTTCTGTCTGTCACTATTTTTATCATAGATGCTTTAAAGTACAAATTAAAATTTATGCAGGACAAACAGATAAACCAACAAGAGCCAGACTGCATATTCATAATAGAGTATATAACTGGAAGTCATGCTAACCAAAATTGTCAAACCATTTTTATATTGTAATATGGGATCTTTAAAATGTTTTTATTAGGGCACATAAAGATTACTCAGAGCTCAAGAATTTTTCCTGCCACAGTGCAAAAGCAAAAGGAAGAGCTACGAGGTTGCCATTAAAGATTGATCACAGAATGGCTTGAGAAGTTTTAACATCCCTCTCCATAGTCTTACCGGTTATCATCAGATGAATCTAACTACAGCCTGGCACTGACGTAGTTTATAGATTCATAGAACTTAGAGCCAGAAAGGACTTTATACTGAACATGTAGCCAGTACAGAAAATCTTTTTATGGTATTCTAACAGATGGTGATCCAGTGAATATTTTCAGAAGCAGGGAGCTCACTATTAAGGCAGTCCATTCCACTGTTGGACAACTCTGATTATGGGAAATTCATTCTAACACTGGGTTAAAATCTGCTCTTCTGTCACTTTCAATGTCCTGATTAGGCCAGTTGAACATACAGTGCAACATACAAGAAACCAGTTTCTTCTCCCTCAATAAATATTTGAGTTAAGGAATCTTGTGAGAAACGTTCATTATCCCCCAATGTTTTCTGAAGCCTTCTCCATGAGCCCAGCATGGTGGATCGAAGGACCATCTAAATTATGAGCAGAGAGAACTGCATCCAAAATCATATGCTAAGCAGCATTGCTAAATTGGTAAGAGGTTGTCAGAGAAGCAACATCTCTATGCAGCAAAAGTAGATTTAGGAAGTAAAAGCAGACCAACCATTTATTTGCAAAGGTGGTTGGCATATTTAAGCATAATCCATTCACTAGTATCCTATGACTTCAAACACAAGAAGTATAATCAATTGCCAGTGTCATTAAAGTATCTCTTATTGAGATAGTATTTTTTTTAAAAGCTCAGATGGGAGCAAACCATACATAAGAATTTAAACAAGTCAGTGTACATCATTATACTTTTGCATTCCTAATCACTACAGCCTCCTTATACTTCAAGCCTAGGAATCCTTGTTCGCATTATTATTTTATTATAATACGACTCAAAGTCTGATTTTTTTTCCCTTTGGCAGAAATGTCAGAAACTGCTTGGCAAGTCTGATAGTGACATTTATTAGTTGATTAATGGAACACACTTAAGAAATAGCTGTAGCTCTTTAACTCCTTCATGCGGCTGGGTTCTAGGTTTAAACTGTGATTTAAAAAATACTTAACTCTCTCAGGACTAAAACTTTCTGATATGTCCTGAGACACACAAGATAGCAGAAATCACGCAAAATACACTGGCTTGATAAAGCTTTTTTTTTTTTTTTGAATTGCTCTACAATTCAATTTGGAAGGCTCTGTTTCACAATTAGAACCTTATCTCTTACCCTCTTGTGTGTGTGTGTGTGTGTGTGTGTGCACTCTTAGAGGGGCACAGTTATTCCGACACTACTGCCTGACCAATTTGGGGCATGTTTTTAAAAGGCTCCCTATCTTTAACAGCATGAAGACCCTGCTTTGGAGCCACTGTTCAAGTCAATGGTGTGACCCAACATGCAATGCTCCAACTGTTCCTCTACAGCCAACACCTGCCTGACAGCTTCTTCAAAGGCCACTGTCACATTAGTATCATCTTTGGCACTAGTTTCTAGATAAGGGTAATCCCCATTCTCCATGCACCAGGCTTGTGCCTCCTCAGTAGTCACTTGCCTATCCTCTTTGTCTACCTTGTTACCCAGAACTACAAAGGGGAAATGCTCAGGGTCCTTCACATCTGCATAGTAAATAAATTCTTTCTGCCAGTTACCAAGATTCTCGAAGCTCTGCCGATCATCCACGCTGAAGGTCAAGAGGCAGCAGTCTGCTCCCCTGTAGAAAGGTGTCCTAAGGCTCTTGAAACGTTCCTGCCCCGCAGTGTCCCAGATCTGGAGGGTTACAAAGCGTCCATCTACTTCCAGATCTCGATTTAAGAACTCTACCCCTATGGTGTGAAAAGCCTGGGAGTCAAATTTGTTGGTTACATAACGGTTCATAAGCGAACTTTTCCCAACTCCACCATCACCCAAGAGAATGACCTTTAAGAGCAGGGATTTCCCACTCATTTTTGCGGCACCAGAAGGGAAGGAGTTTGTACCCAAGAGAACCTGAAAATAAAAGGAAAAGTAGGAGGGAAAACAGTTAAACCTGAAACTAAAATCAACTTCATAGCAAATTTCTCTGAATTATGAGGACTTCTCATTCAACTTCTCTTGATTTATGGTCGTTAATTGACGTAGTACAGCAGAAGAAATAAAACCAATTTTGCATAAAAGGAAAAATAGGTCTTGTTTTTCTGAGATCTTTTGTTGTGCCAGAAACATGGCTGAGTGCCATTAGTAAATGGACTAGCAGATGGTCCTGTAATTTGGTTCAGTTCTGACCCTATTCTAGGAGAGGAAGCCTAGAACAGGAATGCCACTCAAATGTGTGACGACTTTAGCTTCCGGTTTGGACAGTTCCAAACAATAGGCAAATAGTATGAAATTGATTTGGGGTTTGAAGTCTGCTCCTGATGGATACAAGAATTACTGAGAAGAGAAAGCTACATAAACTGAATTCTTGATTCTGTCGGTAGAGGTCTGGGACAGAATCAGACAGGACCACAGAATTTGAAAGAGAGAACAAAGTTACATTTCTTCAGGCATTTACCCCATTATACTTGCATTGATAGGAACACCCCCTCAAGTAAGGATCTTCTATATTTTTTTCTTCATGGAACAATGGCATTTAAGTTGATGACAACTGACCGATACCAATATAACAGCTGTTGTTAAGGAGAAAATCTTGAATAGCTTATTAGTTTTTGGATTTAGGTTTTAATTTCATAATAGCAACATTTGAAAACATACCGTAAAATTTGAAGTACTAATATTTATACAGTACCTTACTTGTTACCTCCACAACCTGTCTACACATGGAATAACTAGAATGTGTCTTAAAATAAAAAGATCAAATGCTTACTGAACAAATACTAACTTTTGCTATATTCTGTTAGGTACTTTCACACTAGGTCTATTGTGGAAGCTCAATAACGATAAGGTTAATTGGATGATATTTATACAATAGATCCAAAGGGAGGAAAACTAATTATCAATCAAAGGAATGCATGCAAAATAGTTTCTGGAAGCACACATATTTGAATATAATTTTACAAAATTTAGTAGCCCTTAAAATGATTTTGGAATGCATGTCTACTAGCTATATATTTTTCTAAATATTCACTTTTAAGAGATCAAATATTAAAACATCCCAAATCCACAGTATGCCCCCTTGAAATACGTACCCAGTGGGTTTGTTTTGTCACAACTTAAATATTTTCCTTTTTTCCTGTTGTTGTTTTATTCTTTCTTTTTAGGGTTCTACAAAATAGAATAGAAAATATTATTAAAAAAATCTATAATAAAATAATATTAAGGCTATAATTAAAAATACATTCAAGTCAGAAAAAAAGAAGAACCCATAGCAACCTCAGGTAACCTATAGAGGATGCTTCTCACAAATAAAAGTTTAAAATGCTACCAATGCTTAACATAAGCAAAACATTTTTATTCCAAAAACTTTATCTTGTCCTAATTTGTACTTTGTATAAGTTTTAAGTTTTATATTGTCTCTTCATTGAATTCTCCATTCAAAGTAAAAGCAAATCAAAGAAAGTAGATGATATTCACAGTAGATGACATTCAGGAAAAGGAAAGTACAGAGCAATCTAAGATATGTTGAAATCCTAAGTAAGAGATGAAACTTTTTTCCTTTATACCTACCAACATTCCCATCTCCAAGAAAGTTGTTAGTGCACTCACCAGTCTGTCTCGAGGTTGTCTCTGTAACTGATTCCACATAATCAGAGAGCAGGAAAAAATTGTGTGTGGGGGCTTCCTGTTTACACTAATGTATATTCTCTTGTCTAATTATTTTATTCATTAGTTTAGGTCATCTCTGTTTTATATTTTTTAAAATTTGAGACAGGGTCTCATTCTGTTGCCTAGGCTGGAGTGCAGTGGTGCAATCATGGCTCGCTGCAGTCTCTACCTCCTGTGCTCAAGTGAATCTCCTACCTCAGCCTTCTGAGTACCTGGGACTACGGGTGCATGCCACCATGCCCAGCTAATTTTTGTATGTTTTGTAGTGATGGGCTTCACCATGTTGCCCAGGTTGGACTCAAACTCCGGGGCTCAAACAATCTGCCCCCCTCATGTTTCCACAGTGCTGGGATAGATTGTGAGCCATCGCACCTGGCAGGTCATTTGTCTTAAACACCAGTTTTAATATTTAGCTGGTGTTGTTAAATGTAAATATACCTTCATTTAATATTATAATTAATTGTGGCAAGAGTCTTATTTAAGCAGTTTCAAGAGTACTGGTCTAAGAAGAAAAACAGTTTCTAGATTTGTGTAGTTTTCTTTCTTACTGAGGAAGAAGGAAGCTTTAAAAATATATCTGCTGCTTAATAATCTCATGTTATTTTCTACATATAGATAAAACTTATAATAAGAATTTGCTAGATATCTCTTTCGGTAATTATGAATTTAAATAATATCTCCTAAATGGATAGGCTTTATGCCCCTTCTTGGTTTATATATACTCCACAGAATTCTCAAGTTTCCTACAATTCCAGGTTTTTGTCCCCTTTGTTTCCTGCTCCCAAATTGCTGTCTTTAGAACTAGCTTAAGTAACAAACATTTCTTTAAATGGAGATGAAACAAGTGTTAGCACACTTCTTTATTTTTTTAAATACCAGTCTGTAGAATAATGTTACAGAGCAGAACTCTTGAACTCTCATTTTAAAAAGCAACAGAAGTACAAACTTGGGCATGATTCTGATGGCTAGTATTAAGGGTCCATGCCAAATGAGCTTCCTCAAGTTCCTAGCAAACAGGTGTTCACATCATTAAAAGACTCACTGACTACTTTCCCAGTTGCAGATAAACTCAATAGACAGGTCAAGGACTGAGTGAATATGGAAACCCAAATGCTCAGCTCCAGGAATAATGATGATGTATTAATAACTGTCTGAGATAATGCTGCAGTTGCTTGTGCATTTCCTATTTGGTTATGTACACACAACTTCTGGGCCTATAGCTTCTATGCCAAGGAAAAAAAACAGGAAAAGCAATGTGGTTCAGTGTTAAGAGCACTAAGCTAGCTGGCAGCAAACAGGATACCAGGGTCTTCATCAGTGTTATACCATTTGTTCATTTTATGAACTTGGGCAGGTCATTTAATCTTTCTGTTTCAGTATCTTCTTACATAAAAATAGAGCAGATAATATCTACCCTACTTAACAGGATTTGGGGGATAATGAATAGATTCTGAAGTTTGCAAAGATTCGTACGCATTTTTTGAAAAATTTGGTTTGAGATTTTTATTCCTCTGGCTCCTCCACCTCCTTTCATGCACTAGTGGGGGACTTGTGGCTCACTATTAACCCTTCTCAGAAAGGGCTAAATATAAGAATTCTTCCTTTTCTCTTTCTTCCATATTTGAGAATGCCTTGTTCTTCAACAAGCTTGAATATCTGCATATGGCACAGAATCTCAGCATTGGAGGGACCTTCAGGGTCTTCTGGTCCAATCCTGCTACTGATATTTAAGAAAACACTATAGTGCCTATTGTGTGTTGTGCCCTTGCTAAGGAGAGCCTCCACTCTCCTCTGCTGTCTTCTACTCCCATTTTTTTGCTAAAAGTAAAAATGAATACAGTTTAGATTTGTCTCCTTACCTTCTGAATCCTGCTGATTTTCCCTAGAAATAACATTCTCTAGTCCTGTGCTGCCATCCTCATTTTGGCTCACATCTCGAATCTAATCTATTGTGAAAGTTCTTCTTTCCCTGCCTCTGATTTCTCCCCACCCAATCTACTTTGCAAAACATCATCACTCAAACATCCACTGGGTGTAGATACTGTTGGAAATTAATAAATGTTTAAGGCAAGGCCTTGCCCTCAGAGAGTGTACAAATTAACATGCAAGCTTAGGATCTCATAGTTTACAGCTGAAATCATATAGTTATACTTCCTTATTTTGTTAACAAACTTTTCCTGTCTTTCTTATATGATCAATTTTAAATTCCTGGATAGTAAGCTCACTGTGTATATCTTTGAAGCCCCTTCAGTGTGCAGCACCAGGATCCTCCATGGAGATAATAAATATTTGTTTACCAATTAACTGATTAGGTAGGTGCCCAGAATTAATGTTTCTGAATTGATACCAAAGTACAATAGATTCATAGTTCTGTAAGATGTCCAGGTACTATTATTTACAAAGTGACTAAAGAGCAGAAGTTATGAACTTGACTCTATCGTTTTCTGGTTGGGACATAATAGGAATTCTACCTGTTGAAAGTCAAGGGAAATGCTCGAGTTTTCTTCCCCCTACTCTCACATTTTAAAAATAAGTATATACATTTCCTCGTTCCTACCAAAAACAAGAGCAGAATAATTATCTTCACTTGATGTTGTCAGTGGGTGCTGGCATCTCTGCAATCATTCATCATTATTTGAAAATGAATGTGATGTCCTTTAGTACATACTTAAAAAGAACCAGCACAGTATAAAGCAAACGAAATCATTTTTTCGTCCCCCAGAATATGCTAGATTTAATCCAAACCTTTAAACAAAGTAGCATTAAGCAGGGAAATGAATTCTTTGATGACACTAAATATGTAAATAGGAAAGTCACATGCCTTATGCATCCCTTATGGGTCTTCTATCAGGTGAGCATTTGGACCGTAACACTTATTCTCATTTTGATCGCATTCAGAGAAATATCTGGCTCTAAGTCAAATATGCGAGAGATGCAATTCCCCTTTCCTACCCCCACAAACTCATTAATCAGCATTTTCTAAGGATAGTTTCTTCACTTTTTATCCCTATCAGGGTCTCAGTCTTGGACAGTGAGGTAAATTAGGAATTCACGTAACCAATACCCTCCAGCTCTTTGTTCTTTAACACACTTGAAACCTTCTGAATCGCCAGTGCTTATACCCACACAGCCTCATTCAAATCATTACATTTAGTTGGAGATTCTTAGAGGTGAGGGTGGAGGTGGGGGAGGAAACAGTACAATGAAGAAAAAAAAGTTAAACCTTTGGAAATAGTACATTTTAGTATGATGATGGAGAGAAGAGAGGCAGAAAAGCAAACTGGCATCAGGTCATTGCCATGGAGTGGAATGACGCTCAAAATCTGTAGTGCAGATTGCTCAGAGGCAAGTCTTGAGAGGGATGTGTACTTCAGGGCTGGGTAGGGGAAAAGCAACCGGGGAGGGCTAGGCAGTGGATGAGAGTGACATTGTTGGAAGTCTGTACAAGGGAGGAGCCATGATTGGACCTGTGGGGAAAGCCCATCTTGTGGCGACACAGTGGTAAGGGTTACTCAATTCACTGTTGAATGCTGGCACAATAATTGGAAATATTGCACTGAAGAATTCGGTGCGACTATCTTTATGTAAAATTCAACATGAACGAGAAATGATTGAATGTTTGAGCCCCTGTAACTTAAATGGTGTAGGTTGTTTCCTGTACAACCCAATACTTGGCGTTGGTGCTGGTGGTGGGTCTTCATAGCGGGGAAGCCCTCTGATGCACTGGATTCATTTTGCAGAACTAACAAGTTATTAGCTACATCCATGCTGACTCCAAATGCCACAGCTGTCATGCCACTGAAACGCTATTCCTACATTCATGCCCATATTTATATTCTATATGCAACTCGAAGGGTCCAATGTGGAGTCTCACGTCTAACCTTTCACTCTTCACAATGACAGCTTTAGGGCTATGAGCCCGAAGACACACTAGATAGCAATTTGGCAATGTCCCCAGGCCACTTTCCCCCCAGTAGAATGCCCAGAGACATAGGTAGATAAGGTTTGGATGACATCAAGCGAGCTGAACACAAGGAAAAGAAGCTGCCTTAGGAGATGACAATGCTGGTATCTCTATGACAGGGGCACTGTTAGCATTAGGGACCTAGAAAGTGAGATGTCATGCATAGTCCCAACTACCTCCGACCCAGGTCCTCTCACCTCATCCCCAGCTCTCAGAGCGAGCCGGCTGTGGCGCATGCGCACTGAGCCACACCCGCTCCCCACGGAGCCCTGCGCCTCTCTGCCAGGCTCTGGCGGCCGCTTGGGATTACTCAGCAACGCCCCCCTCCACTGTCACCTGCCCCCAGCTCCGACCCTAAGGGAGGCTCAGTACTTTTCCCAAGCTACGAGTGGCCCCGGGGATCAACTAGACTTTCCTTTCTCCCTCTTCTCACAGGCCCCCCACCTCCCGGCCTTCCGGGTCCTCCACCCCCTAGCCCCTGTTCCTGCCCACGCACAGGCACCTTACCCAACACAATGGGAAGGAAACAGGAGAGGGCCGCGGGTGCCAGGCAGGTCAGCTCTGCGTGCCGGGAGTCCGGCTCCTCAGCGACACCGTCACCGCTCCTGCTGCCTCCTCGTCCTCAATGGGGCAGCAAGTGCGGCTTGGACCTCGGTGGCCTGCCTGACAGCTGCCGCTCGCGCCCGCTGCTGCCGCCGCGCAGCGTCTCGCGCCCGCGCCCGCGCCCGCCAGGGGAGGGGGCGGGGCTCGCGCCGCCTCCGCGTGCCCCTTTCTTGGCTCTGGGGACCTAGTGTAGCCGCCTCCCGCCCTCCATGTGGCAAGCGCTCCCTGGCTCGCCCACTCTTCTTTCATGCTCATCGTCCAACCCTGGACTCCCTTTTCTTCCTTCTCCTCCCCTAGCCGATTAGTAGGCACCGCGGCAATGGACCGTCAAATATCGCTCTCCCACTTAGCTCCTCTGCAGCCTGGGGCCTAAGCCCTCAAGCATGGCTAGCCACAGCTCCACCTCCTGCAATTACCCTCATTTATCCTAGCTCAAAATCCTTTAATTTTGCCAAGAGAGTAGTACGTACACCCTCTTGTTTCAAATAACTCAGGAAAACACATTATCACAACACATTGCTAGGCTCTCTAGCTGGCATGAAATTCTCGGGCAGTCCCCCCCAAAAAAAAATGTCCACATCTGTAGCACAGACATAGAGGACACACTGCCTTTTACCCTTACCAGGTACAATTCCAGAGGGCCACACAGGGGGGCATTACTTGAATTTCCGGGAATTGCTGCTGGGGCAGAATTCGATGTTCTCCTTGTTTTCTGTAGCCCTCTGGTACCTCCAACTAGTTTTTGATTTTTTTCGCCCCCTGGAATTGAGAACAAAGCTCCTGAGGTCATTTAGCCTACACTCCACCTCTCTGTCAGGCAGATCCATCTCTGAAGCTTCCCCATTGTCTGAAACCTTGTGGCACAGGCCCTCACTCACCTCGTGACCCCTCAAAGCCCTCACGCATACCCACTACTTCCATCTAGGCAACTCTCCCTCTATCTCTTGACAAAGCAATCATGCAATCAATCTCTGCAGGCCCCAGCTTAAATGTCACTTCTCGGGATAACCTTTCTAGATAACCCCAGAATAGAGATGGTTGGTGCCCCAGTTTATACTCTTGTAGCCTCCTGTAACTTGCTGCATTTTTTCTTCATAACACTTACCCATTTTTGGTGGTATATTTAAACGTATGATTATTTGGTTGACAGCTGTCTTCCCTACTAAACTGTAGTAGGGAAGGACTATGAGGTCAAGGACAATGTTTATGTTCACTGCCATATGCCCAGAGCCTAGTGCAATGTTTGCTGCATAGGACATGCTCAGAAAATATTTGCTGAATATCAATGAATGCTGTATCACTAATAATTGTTATATTTAAATAAAATAAGTGGATCTAACTGAATCCCTTGTGCTCTTATTTAAACCAACACCATTTCCCACATATACTCTAAAACACTCTTCTGATGATGAAGGGATTCACACAATCCTATAAATCAATTTTTTCATCCATTTTAATCTATTAAAAAAACTATTGAGCATGGGCCCCAATATATGTATATGGATTTATAGATTATATACATGTACTACTGTACAGGTATACATTACACATTACTTTATACATTTTAATGAGTAAACATTAAAAATACTCCAGCACAGAAATTTTAAAGGAATGAGAAAAATAGCCGGGCGCAGTGGCTCACACCTGTAATCCCAGCACTTTGGGAGGCCGAGGCGGGTGGATCACGAGGTCAAGAGATGGAGACCATCCTGGTCAACATAGTGAAACCCCATCTCTACTAAAACTACAAAAAATTAGCTGGGCATGGTGGCGCGTGCCTGTAATCCCAGCTACTCAGGAGGCTGAGGCAGGAGAATTGCCTGAACCCAGGAGGTGGAGGTTGCGGTGAGCCGAGAACACGCCATTGCACTCTAGCCTGGGTAACAAGAGCGAAACTCCATCTAAAAAAAAAAGAATGAGAAAAATAAATATATTGATGTTTCAATGTTTTCTTTCTGCACTCCAATAAATAGTTTTGTGAATGCTTTAAATAACAGTCCTTCATATCAGAGTATCTCGTCTTTAGGTGTAACAATCTAGACTACTTTTTCATTTTCTCATAGATGCTATTTTCCAACAGTTTAATCATCTTTGAGAACCCCCAAAAACCTACTGGCAAGTTTTAAGGACCTTTTAGTTTATAAGCTACCTTCTTCTGTAGTCAGGATCTCATAACTGCTGAAATCATCACACGTTTAGTGAACGTTGGAACACCTAAGGGTAAGAAAAATCCTTTCTTAGATCAAAGATTTCTACATGTAAATCCTCTATTAAAGAGTCTCTAGAGGCCACTTAAAAAGCAACTACTACTGTCTGCCTAGAATGGAAGCAACATGACTAACTCTAGTTGTGAGGGATCAGCACAAAATGAACAGCACAAAGATTCGAAGTAACAGCTGTGGATGGTTTTGTGGCTTTCAGATGGGACTATTCCCAATGATCAATCATTGAGATCTGTCAAATCATGCCCTCAACATATAATAAAAATATTTCTATCTTTATAACACAGTTACACACACACACACACACACACACACACACACACACACACACACACACAAACTCTTCAACATTCAATGAAGAAGATTAATTATCTCCCAAAGTCTCATCCTGATCAGTTTGAAATACATTGACCTGAGCTTCAGGAAGACATAGTTGGAATGTGATTAATTTAAAAGAATAGCCTGGTCCAGCATTCACAAGATGTCATGTACAAAAGTGTTCCATGAAGCATTCAAATAAGTATATAAACACTGCATACTATTTCCCTTCCTGAAGAGTCATGTTGCATATTAAAACATTAACATCCTGGGAGTCTTGAAGTAAAGAAATCTGTTATGTTTTTTTTCAATTCAACATTTCCAAAACTTTTGTGAACATGAATTTCTTTTGTTTATGGAACATCTATTAGCAGGACTGGAACAGCTCAGGACCCAATTTAGCAACTGCTTTCCTAATCATTAATATTGGAAATGTTCATAGGTCAATGTATTTGTCATCTTTGGCCTAGAATATTTATGTGGCAACTATACATTTTATATTTTCCAGATAGTCCTGATTTCAAATACTTTGTCTTATTGTCCTCATTTTTACAATAATATTGATGAGATCATCTAATGTTTTACTCAGAAATTATGGCAGCCATAGGTATGCAAAAAGGAAATTAGACAGTAAGAATTTGTCAACTATTTACCTATCATTGTCCAAGAGCAAGTCACAGTTTCTAGTGGATACAATATTTTTTTTAAAAAAATCATTTGACACAGAGATAATCTTATGGAATAAAACCACTTTGCCAGATTTTTTAATAGCCTGAAGGAAAGGTCTCTTAAGATTATCCAATTATGGAAGTCATCAGTATGAACTCAGTTTTGTTATTTTAAAAAACATTTTTAAGCTCCGTCCACTAAAAATACTTAGAAACAATGAAAATCTCAGTGTCAAAGTTCATCTGTAGTGCCCATAGGATGGCTCTAAATGCTATTTCCCAATAACAGGACCCAGAAGTACTTAAATAAATAGCTGACTTCAATATGCGGCAAGAAATGTTCAAGAACATAGAATATCTTGTCACACCAAATAGCAAGGAAGCTAAAAATGCTACTAGAGTTGAGTCAAAAACACTTGGGAGCCAACTTGAAGAGGCTGTCATAAGCCAAACATGGGGCAATTTGAACATTAGTAAAGATCATTACAATGAATTGAAATATAGCAAATATGTTTAAATATACAAATTCATGAAAATACTTAAAAACATAACTGCTCAATTTGGCAAAACCTAGAAAACTAGCTCATTATTTGGAAACTGGTAAAGAGAATGGCTCAAGCATTTAACCTGCTTTTTAAATACAAACTCTTCCTTGGTATAATGAAGGAGTTGGTGAGGAAAGTGTTTTAAAAAGATTTCTAGCTAATAAATTATGAAGGTATGTTAGAATTATAACCTTTTAAGAATTAATGGATCTAGGTAATAATAATTCATGTCTTCTAATATTACAAAAAAGAGCATTAACTATATATCATATGCCTCTTGACGGAAAAACACAGCAGCACGTAGGAAGTATTTTTTTTGTCAAAAAATTCAATTTGAATCTGATCAAGCTCCTAGATATAACTACGAATTTTTAGAAAAATACAAGGAAAAAGTTGTTAACATTGTAGGTATGTAAGCAACAACATCCAGACTTAGGTTTAGAGTGCAGGGGTGTGTGTGTGTGTGTGTGTGTGTGTGTGTGTGTGTGTGTTGAGGGGGAGAAACTCTGCAGAAAAACAACACGGTTTCTTCAACAAATAAATTTTAAGAGAGAATCCAAAAATGAAAGTTAAAAAGAATGCATTTACAATGATGTCAAAGAGAATGTAGTATTTAGAAGTCAATTTTTAAAGACAAGTGCAAAAAAACACTCTTAAAAACACAAAACATTCTTGAAAGAAATTTTAAAAAGATCTAAATAAATGGAAAGACATCTCATGTCTGTGGATTGAAAGACAATATTTATAAGGTGAAAATACTCTTCAAATTGATCTACAGATTCAATGCAATTCCTTTCAGAACCCTAGCTGGTTTCTTTGTAGAAATTTACAAGCTGATCCTCATATTCTTATGGAAACTCAAGGAACCTAGAATAGTCAAAACAATCCTGCAAGAGAACAAAGTTGTAGGACTCATTCTTTTCCATTTCAACACTTACTAAAAAGCTACAGTTACCAAAACACTGTGGTGTTGGCATAAGACTAACATGTATATCAGTAGAATAGAATTGAGATTCCAGAAATAAACCCATGTGTCTATGGTCAATTGATTTTCAACAGAGGCGCCAAGGCCATTTAATGGGGGAAGAATAGTTTTTTTCAACAAAGTGTGCTGGAATAAAAGGATAGCCACATGCAGAAGAATAAAGTTGAACCCTCACCTCACAGCACATACAAAACTTAACTAAAAATGGATTACACTATAAAATTGTTAGAAGAAAGCAGTAGTAATTCTGGTCTTGAGTTAGGCAGTTGATTCTTTGATATGACACCAAAGGCAAGGGCAACAAAAGAAAAAATAAATAAGTTGGACTTCATGAAAATGACAAACTTCTGTGCTTCAAAGAACACTGAAAAATGTAAAAAGACAACTCACAAAATAAGGGAAAATATTTGCAAATTATATGCTTGATAAGGAACTTATCTACAACATATTTCTAAAAATCTTACAACTCAAATATAAAAAGATAACCCAATTAAAAAATGAGCAAAGGATCTGAATAGGCTTTTCTTCACAGACACTCAAATGACCAATAAGCACACAAAATGATGCTCAGCATTATTCGTTATCAGGGAAATGCCAGTCAAAACCACAATGAGATACCACTTTACACTTATTAGGATGGCTATAATAAAAAAGTCAGATAATACCAAATGTTGGTGAGGATGTGAAGGAAATGGGAAGTATGAATTTCATACATTGCTATAGGACTGGAAAAATGCTGAGCCACTTTGGAAAAGAGTCCGACAGTGTTTTAAAAAGTTAAGCATAGAGTTGCCATAAGATCTAGTAATTGCACTCCCAGTTATATATGCCAAAAAATAAAAACATATATCTACACAAAACCTTCTACATGATTGTTTATTGCAGCATCATTCATAGTGGCCAAAAGGTGGAAAAATCCCAAATGTCCATCAACTGATAAATGGCTAAATAAAGTGTAATATATCTGTACAATGAAATGTCATTCAGCCTTAAAAAGGGATGAAGTACTGATACATGCTATATCAGGTACGTATATTCAAAACATTACATTAAGTGAAAGAAGCCAGTCATAAAAAACTATACCTTATATGATTCCTTGTATATGAAATGCCCAAAATTGGCAAATATAAAGAAAGAGAAATAGATTAGTGGACAGGGGACAGGTAGACAGGGATGCTGAGGGACTGAAAGCTAAAGAGTATGGAGTTTCTTTTTGAGGTAATGAAAATGTTCTAAAATGATTGTTGTGATGGTTGCATAACTTTGTGAGCATACCAAAACCCATTTAATTATACATTTAAGGCTGGGCGCAGTGGCTTATGCCTGTAATCCCAGCACTTTGGGAGGCTGAGGTGGGTAGATCATGAGGTCAAGAGATCGGGACCATCCTGGTCAACATGGTGAAACCCCGTCTCTACTAAAAATACAAAAAATTAGCTGGGCATGATGTTGTGTGCCTGTAATCCCAGCTACTCAGGAGGCTGAGGCAGGAGAATTGCCTCAACTCAGGAGGCAGAGGTTGTGGTGAGCCGAGATTGCACCATTGCACTCCAGCCTGGGTAACGAGAACAAAACTCCGTCTCAAAAAAAAAAAATTATACATTTAAAAGCATCAATGGCACAATATGCGAATTCTATCTCAATAAAGTTGTACTAAAAGAACTGTAAGAAGGAAAATTAAAAATCTGGAAATGGAGCTTATAGACAAATCTATAGATGAAAAGAAACCTAAATAATTCCCTAGAGTTCTCATTTAAAGCTAGACTGAACATTGCTTCTCCATTAAACTCTATAAATCATTAAAACAACAACAATAACTATACAACAACCCAAGAGACACATTCACAAATTGCAATGTTATTTCCTTTCCTCAAGAGTTCTAATCCATATTTATGTATGGATCAAACAAGCTTAGAAAAAAGATAGGAAAATTTGAACACTGGGCTGTATATTTTATGATATTAAGTAATTGTTCATTTTCTTTCATTTGTGATAAAGGTATTGTGGTTATGTTTTAGAAATAATTCTTATTTTTTAGGGACGCATACTGAAATGCTTGTGGATTAAGTGATGTGGTATCTTGGATATGGTTAAAATAATCTGGTGACTAGTGATCGGGCAGTGAAGGCAAGCCTGGACAGGTGTTGTGCCAAGTTTGTCCTGCAGACTATGGCTGAGCGATGGATGAACAGAGTATGCAGACACAGGTATCTTGCCTGTCAGCATGGGTAGGGGACTGCTGGCAGAGTGAGCAGTAGCAGCCTCGATAAGCCAGCAACACTTGCATTTATTTAGTACAAATTTAATGACAAAGGCTTTGAGCAAACACAGTTTGTGGGTAACAAACACTGTCAATCTCCCAAAGAGAGAGCAGTCCTGCATGTGAATAATCAAAGCTCACTTTTAGGACACGAGTAAGCAAGCTATTTAGATAACTTCCCTACATTCCTTTGTACCTACTCCTCGCCCTTTGCCC